CAACACCTCTTTCGGCAGCGAGTACTTCTCTTTGTGGTCCACACGCAGGGTCCTCTCCAGCAATTTAATCCCGTTCATATTGTCCACCGCCAAAATGGTGCTGCGTTGATCCTCGTACTTCAAAAAGGCGAAACCTTTGCTCTTCCCTGTTCCCTTGTCTCGGACCAAGTGCAAGTCCTCGATTTCCCCCCACTGAGACATAACACACAACACGTCACCTTCGCTCAATTGCGAAGGCAAGCTACCCACAAAGACCCAGGCAGAGTCTTTATACTGTCCATGCCAACTGCCCTCCATTCCAGCCGTCCCGCGCTGTAGTTCCTTTTCATTGAGACGCTGGATCTCTCGAACGACGTTCATTAGAGCTGATGTACAGGCAGTGCCTGTCAGTCCACAATGTTTTTAGCAACCCATTCACAGAATCGAAGGAAAGAACAGATGGAAACGTAAGATCAGTTTCATGACGCGGTCCATGAAATGGAAAATAAAAAGCATTTTACTTGGATTACAAGCCTTTTTACGCCATTTTAACCATACCCAATTGAAAAATCTTACATCAATGACACGCTGGGCCCTCAACTTGTAAAATCCCGTGTGCATATAGGCTTTTGATACATACGGGAGGTTGGGACGCTAATAACATTATCATAGAGAGAGCTGAGCCCCCAAAAACGTTTCTTTATGCGCGAACGTATCAACCACGACCTCTGAGGCGCTCCAAATGTCTTTTTTGTCGTGTCAACCATTGTGCTATCTACTTCTAGCGCTACCCAGCTCACAATTAGCTCTACCTTGGTGCGGAGGCGTACCACCATGACTGCGCTCGCTGACTTCCTTGAAGCTAGCCTTCCCCCCCTGTTGCCCTTTGACGAAATACAACCCAACCCAAGCTTCAACGCCCGGGCTCAGCGTGCAAATCTTGAAGGCCTTCTCTCGCTGCGTGGTGACATTGTACCAAGCCTGACGCCCCTCAGCGTGCACGAACAACCCTCTTTATGCACAGGCAACCCCCCCGTCGCAGGCCTCTCTGTCGCCATGTCCAGGCGCCCAGCTGCATTGATAACACCACCGTCAGCATCATCAGGCCACATTTTACCTCACATCTACCATTCTTGTCCATGGCGACGGGTCCGAATGCTGAGCACGCGACGGGCTGGCCTGGGAGGCCTGAGCACAATGTTCCTCTTCAACACTGTCCGTGCATTTCTAGCCCTACCATCAAGCATCTGTCCCCCCACATCGCAACCGTACATCCCTTCGATCAGGTCAAGAAGCATGGGCTCAGCAATAGTCTCGATGCCGCGTCCGACATCGACCCCGTCGTCTACCTCTGCACATACGATCAACATGGCAACCTCCTCCCCTTCTACTCCTGACCCCGCACCTCCGGCAGGCATTCCAGCGACCACCAGACCCAGAAGTGACACCATAGACCCTTCCGCCTACATAGCACCGAGTGTGGGGCTTCCTACTACCGTCTCGCCTTCTTCTCTGGGCGATTTTAAAACCTGCCCACGCCTGTACAGGTTTCGACATTTGGAAAAAATCCCAGAACCGCCCTCGGAGGTCATGGTCCGTGGCTCCATGGTTCACGACGCCTTGGACGAACTCTTTTCCCAGCCCCCCGAAAAACGAAGTAAAGAAGTCTTGCACGACATATTCCGTGCAGTGTGGCTGAAGCGAAGGGACAAGTATCTGGAACTCTTCCCTTCCACCGAGGATCAGCGGGCCTTTGGCATGGCTGGGTTGAAGCTGCTTTCGAATTATTTGAAGGTGGGTGGACGCGTCCATGCCGAATAGGGCTTGAGAATGCCGACGGACGACTATGTTATGGGCCACGTGTCTCATGTTCGTTTCTCCAATCCGACCATGCGAGTACTTCTGAACCTCCCTTACCTCCTCATCTCCCCCCTCCGCTCCTTTCCACCTCGGCGCTACAGGTGGAAACCCCCGCCGAGCAAGAACCTCTGATGCGCGAGTTCCGCATGCGGGTGCCTTTTCCGGACGGGCCGAGCGTGACTGGCATCTTGGACAGGGTCGATCTGGAGCCCGGGTCGGGGGAGTGGGTGGTGGTAGACTAC